GAGGGCAACCCCCACTGCCCCAGTGTCTGTGTCCATTGGTAATGCTAATATGCATGCATACAAGTCCTTCGGTTGATCTCACCCCCCCTCCCCCTTTGTCTCTGGATCTATTTTTGTTCATCAGTTTATGTTGATCATTATATCTCACATATGAGTGAGATCATGTGATATTTATCTTTCTCCGACTGGCTTTTTTCTGCTTAGCATAATGCTGTCCAGTTCCATCCATGCTGTTGCCAATGGTAAAACTTCCTTCTTTTTTATAGCAGTGTAGATTCCATTGTGTAGATGTACCACTGTTTTTTAATCCACTCATTTGCTGATTGGCACTTCAGCTTATCCCAAGAAACCAGAAACACCAATATAACCAGAAAGGATATATGCACCCCTATGTTCATAGCAGCACAGTTTACAATAGCTAAGATTTGGAAATAGCCTAAGACAGGAAATTCTTACCTCAGACAAAAATTAACTGAAACAGAGCTTAAATTTGAACGTTCAGAAAAAGATCCTTATGCCCTTGGCATTCTAAATACAGCATTTGGCAGAGACCATTCCCCATAAGAGCCCTCATTGGGTGAACCTTCATCTGAAACTAGAACTTTTTTCTCTCCTCCCACATTGTTGGAGGATCCACTCAGATTCTCACCTTTGCTTCGAGGTGGAGGAGGAAGAGGCTAAAGAGGCCCAGGGAATCCTCAGAATCATTAGGTTACTAATGAGAGAGGAGAATCAAGAAAGCAGACATGAGTTCCCATCTGTGTTGATTCTGCCTTCAAATGAGTCTACTACTGAATGAACATTCAGAACCACAAGAAACATGACAATATTTTTGGTCTTTCTTCAAAACTAATTTTTATTTTCTCTCATTTTCAGTAATTGCAGTTACTTAAGTGATTATACTTATGCTTAAATTGGAACTTAATGGATTTATATTCTCAGGATAGTATTTTGTAAATAAAAATGACTTAAATATGGAAAAAATTAAATAAAACATTCAAAGAGTACTTAAGTTTATTAAATGACATTTTATTTTATTTTTAAAATATATTTTATTGATTTTTTACAGAGAGGAAGAGAGAGGGATAGTTAGAAACATCGATGAGAGAGAAACATCGATCAGCTGCCTCCTACACACCTCCCACTGGGGATGTGCCCGCAACCAAGGTACATGCCCTTGACCGGAATTGAACCTGGGACCCTTCAGTACGAGGCCGACGCTCTATCCACTGAGCCAATCTGGTTAGGGCTTAAATGACATTTTAACCCATAGAGATAATTTTAATTCAGAAAAGGTAAAGTTAGTGGACAGCAAGCAAAAATGAACCATACTATTCCTTAGCTAAGGTGGGAAATTGCTTATTTCCATATTAACAAAGGTTAAATACCTAACCAGAGAAAAATACTCACCCTATATAATAAAAGGCTAATATGCAAATTGACTGAACCGCGGAATGACCGGTCACTATGACACTCACTGACCACCAGGGGGCAGATGCTCAACACAGGAGCTGCCCCCTAGTGGTCAGTGCACTCCCACAGGGGAGCGCCGCTCAGCCAGAAGCTGGAATCAACCTGGCCTGTGGGGAATTGGGCTGAAACCAGCTCTTCGACATCCCCCAAGGGCTCCCAGACTGCGAGAGGGCACAGGCTGGGCTGAGGGACCTTTCCCCCCACCCCCAGTGCACAAATTTTGTGCACCGGACCCCTAGTTATGATAAAAGCAGATTTATCATGAAAAAGCACTTGGTAGATAATATAAAAAAAAATTTTAGCCGAAACCGGTTTGGCTCAGTGGATAGAGCATCGGCCTGCGGACTGAAAGTTCCCAGGTTCGATTCCGGTCAAGGGCATGTACCTTCGTTGCGGGCACATCCCCAGTAGGAGATGTGCAGGAGGCAGCTGATCGATGTTTCTCTCTCATCGATGTTTCTAACTCTCTATCCCTCTCCCTTCCTCTCTGTAAAAAATCAATAAAATATATTTAAAAAAAAAATTTTAGTCCATTACCATAATTTGCACAAAATGCCACGTTAATTGGCTATGAATAAAGGGCATTCCTTTGAACATTTTAGAAGACAAAGCAATTTGAAGGGAACTTCCTTTGCATAATGAATATTCTATATAAGTCATACATAAAACCAAGCAATTATAGGTGTCTGGATTTCACAGTGAAGATAGGAACAAGACATGGTTGCCCCTTGTCTTTTTCTTTTTCTAAACATTTTTATTGGTTTCAGAGAGGAAGGGAGAGGGAGAGAGAGATGGGAACATCAATGTTTGGGAAGTAATTAGGGTTAGATGCAGTCATGACAGTGGGCCCCCATGATGGGATTAGTGCCCTTATGAGAGACACCAGAGAGCCCCTCTCTCCTCTCTCCCCTCTCCCCTCTCCCCTCCCCCCTCTCCCCTCTCCCCTCTCCCCTCTCCCCTCTCCCCTCCCCCCTCTCCCCTCTCCCCTCTCCCCTCTCCCCTCCCCCCTCTCCCCTCTCCCCTCTCCCCTCTCTCACTCCATGTGGGAGGAGGTCATTATGAGCAGACAGCAAATGGCAGCTGCCTAAAAGCCAAGAGCAGAGGCCTCAGGGGAAACCTGCCTTTCCAGCACCTTGATCTTGTACTTCCCAGCTTCCAGAACGGAGAAATAAAACTCTGTTATTTTAGTCATCCAGTCTACGGTATTTTGTAATTACCTGAGCTGACTAAAACACTCACATTTAGAAGTGAAGGAACAAGGTTTGGACTTAGGTCTGCCTATTCTATTACTTCAAGTATCCAATCTATTTGCTCATCTACATTCAATGTACATATAGGGTACATAGGGAAAGAAGTTGGTTCAGAGCTCGTCAGCTGTGAAACACAATGTTTCTAATGAGCTCAGTCTGCAGATGAATCACTCTTGCTAAGAACAAAATCAATGAGTGAAGTAAGTTGTTTAGGAAGACACTGATGTAATGCAATGAATTTTTCACTAACCTTCAGACATTGGTAATTTTACAGCACTTTATACAATCACAAAAAATAAGTTAAGTGGACATTATTTGATGGAACTTAGCATTCAAAACTTTAAAACCATAGAAATGTGAATTTCATATAAATATGAAGATTGTATTAGAAAATGGGAAGATTGAGTTTGGTGCTTGGGTTACATATCTGGTCTGTGATATAATTCATGTCTAACATGAAATAGTCAACTTTTAAGAAGGACTTGTTGACACCAATTGTTCTGTCAGTGTCAACAGCTATAGAGACCGGAGAGAATGTTCCATTTTATCCCATGCATTATGCATGCACAACATACATAATGCAACCGACTGCTCTGCCAGACTCGGGCCTCTGTCTTTCCTTCTTCTTAACATAACCTTAATGTTGTTCAAGTATGGCCCACCCCCACAGAGCTGTGTGCTTCAGAGATGCTGCTGCCTCATCACCCACCACACCCCAGGGGTGAATGGCAGTTAGTCAAGGCAAGTGGTCTTATTTCCTTTGATGGTAATTGGTTTGCCAGGAGATGACTCTGTGAGCCAGTTCTGGCCAGGAGACAGGAAGATACCAACTGAGTTAAGGACGTGAATGCCAGTCCTGCTTCCAATGCCATTCTGCCTCACATCAGAAGTAATCACAGGTTTTGACTATCAATCAAATTTGTAAGATACAATAGACTTTATTCTAATACTTCATGTATTAATCTTAGAGAGGGATACAAGACAGGCAAACTGAGTGTACAGTTTTGTCATGTCATCAGGAGGCTCAGGGGCTCTACCCAGGTATACTGGCTTCTTGGCCCGCCTGACCCACCCGTGGCCTGTACAGGTGCGAAGGAAGATGGGGTGCACGGATGCACTGGCCAGGAGTCTCAGCAGTGTTTATCCGGGGGCCAGCTCACCGCTCTCTGTGCAGGTGCAGTTCCGCAGATGGGGGATTTCGGAGCAGATAAGGCAGACAATCAGCTTCCAGCACAAAGCATTCTTCTCTAGCCGCACATGGTAGTTGCCAAGGAAACAGTGCTGCGAGAAGGCAGCTCCAAGGTCACCTTCCCAGAGAGGTGTAAATCTGTTTGGAGACCCAGGCCTGACGTTACTCCCTTTTCACAGGAGAAACTTCGCTGGGGCTTCAAGAAACGGTTTCCAGGCTCTTAAGAAGGGAAGCAAAAAAAAAAAAAAAAAAAGCAAGTCTTGTTCCTCCAGACATTTTTGTATCTGAAGTGGATGCTTGGACTATATCTTCCTGGTGCATTTAGTTTCCCAAGCTCCACTGTAAGACATCTATTTTCACAATCTCTCTACTTTCCTCAAACCTCTTCCCCAGTTCTTACTGTCAATTGATTTCTTGCTTCCTACTTAACTAAGAAAATAGAAGCAATCAGAGAACGTCTACACTTTCCCACCATCACATACCAAAAACTATTTCCCTTTTTACCCATATCCTCCACTCCCCTCTTCTTACTACGGATATATTGTCCACACTCCACTCCAAGGCCACACCCTCTACCTGTGCTTTAGCTCTTATGCCCACTCATCTATTTAAGGACATCACTTTAGCATCTGCAAACCCCCCTCTTCCCTAGTTGATCATCCATCAGCATATAGCCTTTAGTATTTCCTTTTCTTTTTATCCTCACCTGAAGATATACTTTTTTTTTTTTTAGAGAGGATGAGAGACAGGGGGTGGGGGGAGAGAGAGAGAGAGAGAGAGAGAGAGAGAGAGAGAGAGAGAGAGACATTGATTGGCTGCCTCCCTCATGCGCCCTGACCAGGTATCGAACCTGCAGTGTAGTTTTGTGCCCTGACCAGGATTCGAATCCACAATCTTTTGGTGTATGGGATGACGTTCCACCAACTGAGCCGCAGATAGGGCTGTATTTCCTACTTTAAAAATCTCTCACTTGACCCCACATCCTACTCCAGCTATGGTCCATTTTTCTACTCCCCATTATAGCAAAACACCCCAAAGGAGTTTTCTATACTGTTGTCTCCAATTATTCTAGTCTTATTATTATTCTTGTTTTATTTTGAGGGAACATTTATTAAAGCTGGGGACAGTGAAACAAGGAAGGGCTTAGCAAATAAGCAACAGGAGAGCCTAGACGGGGCTGCTAGCTCACTGGGAAGCAGAGGAAACAGGAATCAGGGGATTAGTCTGGGAAGAGCTGCACTACCCATTGCTCCCCTGGTTGCAAGTCTCCGGGGGTCCCTTAGAATTTAGGAGATGCATGCCTGTGGAGGAAGAGCATGCCTGGTCATAATTTTCTGAATGGAGTTTTCTATTACTTGTAACCCAAGTTATCTTAAACATTATAACTTCATAAACTTGGCAATCTTTTTTCCATTGGATATTGGTTATTACTATGACTCAAGATTATTAAATTGGGAGCAAGAGAGTTTCAATATGAGAAATCTGTCACTGAAATAGCAACATGTTGGAATACCTTTCAAATATGACCTGATTAAAGAAATGCTCATATCTAAATGTGAGCAAGGATGTTACTTCTTGAATTTAATATCTGCATATTTTCTCATAACTGAGTTATTTACTTATCTTAACCTAGGACAACATTAGAGATTATACTTCAAGACAAATTAAAAAAGAACATTATCTTTGAAATCCAACTATATACTTTGTCAATCCTTTGAACACTAAATGCTTTTTAAATATTTATCAACAAGAAAAATACTAATTGTACAAAATTATAACATTTAAGTTATTTAGATAGTAGTGGTGTATTAAATGAGGTATTTTTTAAATGAGGTTCAAAATCCTATTATTTTCATTATACATCTTTTTTATTATATGTATTTATTATATAACTAATAGCTGCTTTAGTTCATAAGCAATCTCAATTGCATAATGCTACAATTTCTCTTAAAAAATAAACCTGAAATTTTATGACGTTTTCTATGCATGAGCATATTGAACTGTGGCAATAGCTTGCTGAGGTCAGTAGGGCAAAACCAAGTCTTCTGTGTGTTTTTTTTTAAAGAGATGGGGAATAGTAAAGTGCTTATGATAAAAACTGGGTTATGAAAAAGATTCTAAAAGGCCGTAGCAATGCAAGCGAAGCTCACAATTCTAAATTTAAACAGACACAAAAGATCTTGTCTTTGGGAGTCCAAAGTACAACTGCACAGATACAGAATGGCGTAACAATAGCACTTGTAGAAAACAGGCAAGGCAGTGAGTGGGCAGTTACACTGTCTCCTAAGAAAGATGCTAACATCTTGGACTGGACGGAAAATGTAGTTTCTGTGCTTGCCCAGCATTTCCTGAGCATCGCACCTGCCTTGCCTTGCACAGAGTAAGCAGCTGTCAGACAAGGGAAGTACTTAGACGGTGGAGGTGGTTGTTCTTTCCACTCAGTTTGGGCACCGCCTACATAAGTTTCTCCAGGGAACCGGGAGGGGACACTTGAAGGAGCAGGGAAGACCGCCTGGGCGCAGCCTCAGGGGATACAGTTTGCTGTTTAAGTCTGCATGAACCTGAAGACTCAAACTATGGTCAGTGAACGGAACCACAGGAAAATAGATTGCATTCCAATACATAGGCAGAAATTTGTAATGGTAAAAACTACCAAAATTGGAAGAGCCATGAGAAAGGAAAAGGAGCCAAGCACTATGTATTATACTGTGTGAGTTACTTATTGCTGCATAATAAGTTACCCCAAAACTCAGCGGCTTAAAACAACACACACTTATCACCTCCCAGTGTCCATGGGTCAGGGATCCAGGTGCGGCTTTGCTGGGCTTTCGGCTTCAGGGTTTCTCACTGCTGCAACCAAGGGGTCCACCAGGGCTGCAGTCATTTCAGGACTCACCTGAGGCGGAACCACTTCCAAGCTCACTTAACAGTTGGGCAGGACTTTTCCTGGACTGTTGTACCCAGGGCCTCAGTTCTTAGCTGGCTGTGGTTTGGAGGCGGCCCTCTCCATCAGAGCAAGTACTTGAGAAGACCCAGGGAAAGAATACCAGCAAAACGGAAGAAAATGGACAGACATGAGAACTTTTTAGGGATTCAATCTAAATTGAGATAGGTACTAAGGATGAGTCCAAGATTTATTGTGTGTGCAACTGGATAGAAGGATGGTGCCAATTCACATGAGATGAGCATACAAGAGAACTGGGTTTGGGTTTAGGGAGGGGAGGGACATGAATTGGGTTTTTAACATATTATATTGAAGTGCCTTTGTGATACCAACTGGGAGACAATGAAGTGGATATGAAACTCAGAGAACTGGCCCGAAGATTTGAATTTGTGACACTATTTAGGTTGTGATCTGTAGCTCATACTGTTATATTATTGACCTCCTAGAGGCCCAATGCACGAAAATTTGAGCAAGAGTAGGCCTTCCTTCCCCCAGCCGCCGGCACTGGCTTCCCTTCAGCACCTGGGACCCAGCCACCCACAGGCTCCCGGGACCTGGGCTGCTTTCCCTCCAGCCCCGGCCTCCTCAGGAAGTATGTCTGGAATGACATCTGGAAGACATCTGGTCTAATTAGCATATTACCCTTTTATTATTATAAATGTGACAGTTAATCTGACCTATTTAGTTGTTCGTTTGCAAGGATCCCAGCCTAGAACTAAATAAGGTGGAGTTTAACATAAACATTTGCTGTTAAACTTACTACTCCCTTCCAATTGCATTCCCCATACACCTTATTTCAAAAACATCTTGACAGATTAAGAATAAGCGTTCAAGAATAGTATGTGGCATTGCACGATCTCCACCTCCTGGTATTCATGCCTTTGGGTTATTCCTTCCAAGTGTAGACAGGACCTGACTTGCTTCTACCCTGTAGAATACAGCGAAATCATGCAAGTCAATTATGTGATTGTATGACTTCATATGAGACTGTCTGGTAGGCTGCCTGGAGCTAGAGATTCCCTTTGCTGGCTTGATGAAGTAAGCGAGCCTGCTGAGGGGGCCCATGCGGCAGGAAACCAGGGGTGACCACTAGTTGCTGAGGGCAGACGTCAGCCAACTGCCAGCAAGAAACTGAAGCCATCAGTTCCACAGCTATAAGGAAATGAATTCTACCAGCAACTGGATGAGCTTTGGAGGCCAGTTCTCCCCCAGTTGAGCCTGCAGATGAAATCACCTGGCTGACACCTTAATTGTGGACTTGTGACCAAGGGCAGAGAGCCTAGCTAAGCTGTGCCCTAACTGCTGACCCACAGAAACTGTGAGGTTAATAAATGTGTGTGTGTTTTAAGCCTCTAAATTTGAGGTAATTTGTAAGGCAATATAGAAACCTAAGTAATACTTAAGCTTTTATTTATCTCGATTTTTAAACATGCTAACTTTTTTGTGCTGCAAGACAGTTGCCTACTTGTTTTGTTTTATAGGCTTTATTTATGCAAACTCATTTTGAATCAGAAACAAGCTGTTTCATGTGAGTATTAGGAGCATAAAATGTCACAGAGAGGTGAAAAACTTAGCCCAAAATGGCAAGCTTTATTACTAAAGATATCCCACTAGATTTAGAGAATAAATTTAGATAAATCTAGAATTAAAAAGCTAGAGCTGGAAAAAGACTAGCAAACCAGGTATTAGAGATTCATGTATTTATATTCTCATCGGTAGAAAATATAATTACAATGTGGTCTCATGTTTTTGTAATGAGCAAAACCAAAAGTGATGTGTAATTGTAGCAAGGTCGATGTATAAAGCTTCTTGGAACTAAAACAACTAGTCATGACTGCTTAGAGTGGATATGGAAAAAACCTATGTCTAGACAAAATGAGTTAACTTGCAGGAAGGGAAACCACACTTTAAGATAGGTGTGTCACTTAAGGTTTTCCCTTTGGCTTAATTTTCATTTTGAAAAGTTATAGGAAATCCTAAAGTTTCTGAGTTGTAGACATACAAAATTGCGAGAATAACTTATCTTTAGAGTTTCTGGCAGAGAAGCAAGTCACTAATCCACAACAGAGGCAATTTGATAAAATGGGACAATTTGATAAAATAACTTGCATTAAAAACGTTTCAAATGATATGCGATTGTAAACGAACATTTTCTTCAAGTACTTGTATCTCCTATTTGGTTGGCAGGGCAGATTTATCAAAATCAGGTTTAGATTCACTAATAAAGAACCAGTCTGCATCAACAGAATAGTTTCATTCAAGCAGTATATAAAATAATTAAGTTTTACTTTTCCAAAATTGCAGTAGCAAATCAGTTCAAAGGTCATTGCTTTCTCAGTTTTCCACTTAATTCCAAGGCTCAAATTTGCTCTGGGGTGAGATGATTTCATTGTTCATTTAATATAAACAAACTGTGTTGTCCAAAAGCTCAGTTCTTGGCTGCCTTCCCGCTACACTCACTCCCTGTGAGAACTTATCCTGCTGGAGGGACTTAAAGACCACCTATATACTATTTTTTTCAGCCCCAGTGAACTCCAAATTTCTATATACACCTGACTACTGAACATATCTATGTGTATATACGTATCTACTGGGTCTCAGGTTTAGCAAACCTAAAACCACAACTCCAGATCACCACTACAAACCTGCTCTTCCAGCTTCTTCAGCTCAGCAAAGTGCACCACCTTTTCCCAGGAGTTACTTTTTTTTTTTTTTAATCCTCACTCACGGATAGTTCTTCCATTGATTTTTAGAGGGAGGGAGGGAGGGAGGAAGGAGTGTGTGTGTGTGTGTAGGAGAGAGGGGAGAGGGCAAGAGAAAGAGAGAGAGACATTGATTGCTTGCCTCTTGCACACACCCCGCCGGGAACTGGGAATTGAACCTGCAAACCAAGTCCGTGCCCTTGATCAGTAACCCCTTAACCCTTCAGTGCTCGGGTTAACACTCTAACCACTGAGCACCACTGGCCAGGACCCCAGGAGTTACTCTTGACCTTTCTTGTTCCCCTACTCCCCAGACACATGCAATTCATTAAGTCTTCTCAGTTCTACCTATAAAATTCCAAGGCTCAAATTTGCTCTGGGGTGAGATGATTTCATTGTTCATTTAACATAAACAAACTGTGTTGTCCAAAAGCTGTGTATACATTTTTGTGCCCCCAAAAATATATACACACTTTAACAGCTTAGCTCAATTTTGAAAATTAAATGTATTTTAATGAATACTGCCTTTATAATCATTCAAAGTGTGTGTATACATTTTTGGGACACCCTATATATCCCAAATCCTACCACTTTAGACACCTCTACCCCTACAATGTCGTGTGACTACACCTGCTTTTGCTTAGATGATGGCAATAGCCTCCCACAACCCCCAGACCAGAGGTTTTCAACGTTTTCATCTCATGGCACATAAACTAATTACTAAAATTCTGTGGCACACCTAAAAATATATTTTTTGCCAATCTGAGAAAGAAAAGCTACAATTTTGATTCACACCGGACAGCTATTATTTTGTTGGCTGCTGTCATTTTTTAAATTTTACTATCTAAGGGAAAAGAGGTCAGTACCCCTGATTAAATAGTAAGGTATTGTATGTTTTTAGAATTCGTGCAGCACACCAGTTGAAAATTGCTGCCCTAGACTATTCTCAACGTAAGAGAGAATTATCGATGAAAGAGAAATCAGCTCTAACCAGTCCTCTGGCTTCCCATCAAGCTCAGGATAAGATGCAAACGCCTTTCCAGAAGACACAAAGCACCCCACATCGTCTTCAATACTTGTTTACTCCTTCAGAATCTGAGTCATTTCAGGAAGGCATTTACCTTATTCTTGTCTTATTCACTACTATAGTTATCTCCAGTGCCTACAGCAGTGCCCAGCACATCATACACTCAATATTCATGGGATGAACTAATTTTTGTTACAATACAGATGAGCATTAAGAGGCCCTTACCTGGCTGCAACAAAACTTTTAAATTTAAGGGTTTGATTTTTTAATCAGCATAATTTTAGACTAGTATCCTTTAAAACATGAGTTATGCCCAGCCTGTGTGGCTCAGTGGTTGAGTGAGGACCTATGAACCAGGTCATAGTTCAATTTCTGGCCAGGGCACACACTAGGGTTGTGGGCTCTATCCCCAGTGTGGGGTGTGCAGGAGGTGGCTGATCAATGATTCTCTTATCACTGATATTTCTATTTTTCCCTTTCTGAAATCAATAAAAATATATTAATAAAAACAAAAAAACAAAAACGAGCTATTATTTTACCTTTCATAGTAACTCTGGATGATGATTCTAGAGGTGTAAACTCTTGAATAAAATTTCAAATCATAAAGACAAATATATTTTATGCTTTATGATGACTGCTCCACTGTTGTAGTTCTTAATACATAGAAAAACAGCCTTTAATGAGAGGGCTGACAAATGGGCAGAGGAAAGAGCATGTGCAAAAGAAAAGTGAGGGTTGAAAAAGCTCAGGATAAGATGCAAACGCCTTTCCAGAAGACACAAAGCACCCCACATTGTCTTCAATACTTGTTTACTATACCAGCAAGTATTTTGGAATGGTTCTAAAATATACTTGGAGATAAAGATGGAGAGCACAAAGGGCCCTAACACCTGGCTAAGGATCCAAACAGCAGGCAACCACAATCCCTTCTCTTCTCCTATCTGCATTTTAGAAAGCTTCCTGTGGTGAATATGAAGGGTGATGGGAGGCTGTGGTAGAGGCCACAACCAGACTGGAGGCAGAGAGAGACAAGTTTAGAAGACGCCAGAGCAATCCCGGCAAAACACTATGGTATGGTTAGGAAGAGGTCCCTTTGGGCTCCAGGCTGGAATGTGCAGCTTCGAGGCCTCCTTGTGTCTTGTCTTCTCTACTTCAGGGCAGCCTGAGTGACTGACAGTTGGCAAACTATCATTGATTTTGTAGATGTTTCTTTCTGCAGATCTTTGGTATCCCATTATCTATGGAAGTCTCATTCTTACTCCCGACCCATTTTATTAGCCTGAAATGAAGTCATTAATCAGTTGTTTATTACGGGTGTCAACTTTAGCAAGATGTCACACAGCCTAAGCTGGTCCGGTAAGTCATGTGTTCTCTGATGACAAGGTCCTCAGGATGTGTTGGTAGCGGTGGGAGGGGACAGGGGCACGTGCAGGTTCACAAATGCTCTGTGACACATAACCATCTCCTTTTTCAAAACATGCAAAGATGCTTCTTCTCTTTCAAAAGTTTGTGTCCCTTGGTGGACTACTCAAATAATTCCTGAGGCCAGGAGCCAGATGATATATCTGTCTTGCCTTTAAGTAAAACTACTTGTTTAAAGGAAAACCGTTGCCAAGAACTCTAATGCTCAATTTAGGAACATTTAAACCCTTCTCCAACCTCTTCTACTTCTGCTCCAATCAGTCCCTCCAACCTTAGGCAATCCTAATCTTTAGTTCTGAATCAGACTGCTTTTA